GTCGCATTATCATCGTTATTTTTCTAGTTACTGCAATCTGATTTTTTTTGCCAGCAATATCGATATGTTTTCTATAAATGAAATGAATCTCGTTTTTTTGCCTGTAGATGATTTATTATGCTAAGCAAGAAAGCAAATAACGAATGAAAGTTGGCAAGCAGCTCAGACCTACCAACTTTTTCCAGCATCTAATTTCTTGCTCACCTTTTTACCCGTGTTAAATCATAATACCCATTCTTCACTTCACTTTTTCCCATTGAGCAAAATCTCAGTTTTTTTTTCCGAAAATATTCCAATCCACTTTCCCGAGCTTCGATTCCGCGCGATCTAAACCAACATCCCCATCTCTTTTTTTGCATCACCCACTTGCGCCATTCCGTCATTCAAATTGAATTTACCGTTCAAACTTGTTCGTAACCCTTCTTTCTGCCCCCCCCCCCTGCTCTCCCTTTGCCTTTGTCCCCCCTCCTTCGCGCCGTAAAATTCTCGATTTTCAAAATTCTCCCACCTACCCAACTGTATTTTTAGTAGCCAAGCCTAGTCCAATCCTTAGTAATTGCCTAGAATTTTTTTTAAGATGCCCGTTTTCACCCGTTTGGTGGCTATGTTTGCTTAGTCTAGCAAAATAAACATGGCATATTTCTTGGGTTTGCAAGGCTCAGAGTACTTTAAGTGAGTTGCAAGGAAATACGAGACTTGATTTTGTATGAAAAATGCCTGTGATTTTTGAAAATCCTGTTTTTTTCCCTTCAGAGATTTTTGCTGGAATTTATTCATCAGCGCGCCATTTGTTCGCTTTGAAATTCAGCAGTGTACTATAAATTTGTGATTCCTTTTTCTAGAAGCATATAACGAAAATGCTCATTTTGTTAGTTCTACTGTATTTTGCATTTGTTCGATGAATAAACTAAACAAGTGGAATTTTCTGAGTGCTTTCTGAGGATTAGATTCATGCGGAGAACGATTGCTCTGTTGCTTGTCGGAGCACGCAAGCATTTTTTCGTGGTCCTATTTTCCAAAAAAAAAAGTGAAATAACGCTTTTTTTTGAAAAAATAAGCGAAGTTATTAAGTGATTTGGGAAT